GAAACTTAATTGGGTATTGGCCATCTCGAAGATCAAGAGTTGGGCCACTCTTTTGTGTATAAAAAGTATGAAAGAAGAAAATAGAGAAAAGTTTAATAGAAAGATTAGTAAGATTTTATGAGCACCTGATTGTGGATAAGAAGTTTAGAAGGTGGCGGTGACCTAGCCTTTTGCCTTTTGCCAATTTTTCTCAGTTCTTCTGATGGCAACTTGCATCAGCTACAGCATGGATGTCAAACTTGTGTCATCACAGCGGTGTCGCGTGATGTATCGGGACTTTTCCCCCCCTTTGCTAAACTGAGCGGGGTCAGGGTGAGTTTGACACCCCTGAGCTCCAGCCAACATGGCTAGTAATTCAGGATGAAGGCAGTTCAGAACATGAGAAAGGCATTATTTGGAGAAACAATGAGATCTTTTAACAATTGGAAGGCTATCCTAATTTTGGACGTACTCTTTGTTCACTTACTGAGAGAATTTTATTTTCCACGTAAGAACTTGAACCTTGGAGGGAAAAAGAGAGAGAATGCCTTGAGGATTTTTTTAACCAAACAACCAATTCCATATCTGACCATTCTGTTATTGGATAATCATTACATTATTCCTTGTCAGAATGCAAATAGAGGTTAATTATTTGCCAATTATTTTTAGTTTGGCCATAACTATGAATTCCCAAGTGAACACTTTCCATACGTTGTGGGACTTAATTTTTGTGATTATCTGGTTGCCTGCCTAATTCAGATCTGGCTGCAGACTTTCCTTTATACCTGATTCATGTGTGACAAGTAGTTGTTGCAACTGAAAGCTTGGTTACCTTACTCTTTAGCAAAATGTGGCCTCTCACTAATCATATGAGACAAACAACCTCTAGAATCACTTCTCTTTCCATCTTAGCAAATTAAGTTAATTTTCTCCAAATTGCATCTATGCAGCTCTGCTTTTGACTCTCTCAATAGTTGCCTCTTGTTTTAATTTATTTATTTGTTTGTTTTTTGTCTTCCCAGGAACTGGAAGTGCTTCTCTCTCTCATGCCATCATCCGGACAATTGCTCCAACTGGGCATCTGTATACAGTGGAGTTCCATCAACAGAGAGCTGAAAAAGCAGTAGAGGAGTTTGAAGAGCACAAAGTGGGGCATTTGGTGACAGTCAAGACCCAGGATGTCTGCAAAAATGGCTTTGGTGTCACCAACATTGCAGATGCAGTGTTTTTGGACATTCCATCCCCATGGGAAGCTGTAGGCCATGCCAAACTAGCATTAAAACATGAAGGTATGTGTCTTTTTCAAAACTACCATGTTTCTCCAACAATACAGCCTCCCCCAATAGGTTAAGGCCTATATTAAACATGCAAAATGAGGGGGAATGGCGGGGGGGGGCTTGCCATTAGGAAGTACTTTTGTTGCATACCCAGATATGGTGCTGTCTGCATTGACCTCGGCATTGGCAGGGCATTTCGTATTGGGAGACCTTCCACCACCGTTGCTTTTCCTTCTCCCCGTGCTGCCGCGGCGTTTAGAGCAATGCTGCGGCATTTGATGCAGCCACGCAGTAGGGCGCAGCCACACGGGGCCGGCCAGGGCTCCTCCCTGCAAACAGAGCCTGGCGGAGACACTTGGCTTCAGGGGCTCCTATCACCATCTTCCCAGGCATCGTTCGAAGGCAAAGCCCATTCTTTTAAAAACAACGCCCTACTACCGGTACGACAAAGCCTTCCCTACCCAAGAGGGCAGCCCAACCCCACATGGGGAGGTGAATCTCCCGGGGCTGCAGCGCAGGATCAGCCCACCCTGGGAGAAGCGCCCAGCCGCCATCCCTGCCTGGTGCCAGGCAGAGCGCAAAGAGCTTCGCCTGGGGCGCCCAGCCTTCCTGCCTGGTGGCAGAGCTCTGGCCAAGGCAGCGAGCGCCTCCCCCCAGGCCCTCCTCTCATCCCGCCAGGGCTACGCCAGAGCCGGGCAGGCTGGGCAGAGCCAGGAAAGCGAGCTGCGGGTACACACCCGCCTGCCAAGCGAAAGAGCCGGGCCGATCCGAGCTTGGCTTCCCAAGTCCCTCCAGCCTGAACCCGAAGGGGCCACTGGGAGAGGCTGCCTGAGGCAGTGATAGTGCCCACCCGTCCGCAGACAGGATGCGAGGCGACGACAGCGCTGCTTTCCTGGCCGGCGGGTCCAGCGGAGAGAGCGCGAAGCCTCCCATCCTTTCCACCCATCGCCCAGCCCGTCCCCAGCCCCATGCAACTCGAAACATGTTGGCAGCTCCAAATGCTGCAGCGGCATGGGCATCGGGCAGAGGCGCTACTTGGCAGGGCTCAGCTTGGAGGAGGACACAGCAAGGGCCGTCGCCTTGCCTCCCTGTCTATGGATGGGTGGGCGCTATCACTGCCTCGGGCAGCCTCTCCCGGTGGCCCCTTCAGGTTCGGGCTGGAGGGACTTGGGAAGGAAGCCAAGCTCGGGTTGGCCCGGCTCATTTGCTTGGCAGGCAGGCAGGCACGCACCCGCGGCTCACTTTCCTGACTCTGCCCAGCCCGCAGGCTCTGGTGCAGCCCTGGCAGGATGAGCGGAGGGCCTAGCGGGGAGGCGCTCACTGCCCTGGCCAGAGCTCTGCCGCCAGGCAAGAGGGCCCGCCTGTCAGCTGCGCTTTGTCGTACCGGTAGTAGGGCGTTGTTTTTAAAAGAATGGGCTTTGCTTTCGAACGATGCCCGGGAAGGTGGCGACAGGAGCGCCTGAAGCCAAGTGTCTCAGCTGGGCTCTGGTTGCAGGGAGGAGCCATGGCCAGCCCTGCGTGGCTGCACCAAATGCTGCCTGGCTGCACTAAACACCGCAGCGTTGCTCTAAAAACTGCGGCAGCACGGGGAGAAGGGAAAGCAATGGTGGCGGAAGGTCTCCTGATACGAAGTGCCCCACCAATGCCGAGGTCAACATCCAAGCCGTCACCGCCCGCCCGAGAATGCAAGGGGGGGGAATTAAGTCGCCCCCGAAAAGACGGCCCAGCCATTTTTTCAGGGGTCAAAAAAAAAATAAGGCCCGGTCTTATTTTATGAGAAACACGGTACTTGCTGCCTAATTTATTCCAACCTCTTACCTTCTAGATGTGTTGAGTAAAAACTTCTGTCATTCAACTGAACATAGGTATCTTGCTGGATAGCTATGATGGGAATTGTATTCCAATACATTTAGAGGATAATAGGTTGGGGAAAGATAGTCTAGGAAGGGTTATTACTATGATTTGATACATGTTTTGCAAGATTTGGAGTCTAGGTGACTTCAGAATTTCCCAAACTTGTCTTACCTTCAGTCATTCTTTCTAACTCCTAACTTCCTAATTCATAGGATTATGCCACAGGAGACAGTGAAACCAGAAAATCATCAGCTTGTTGTATTAGAATGATTGGTACCTGTCTGTGAGAGATCATCTAATTTCACAAATTGAATGCCTTACTTCAGAGGCTGTTAATTAATTTAAATAACCATAATAAAAATGCTAGGGGCTTTTCAACAAGCAGCAAGAGGAAGAAAACAACTTTCTCCCACTGGTTTGTCTTTGATTACCAATTGTAGCTGGCTTATGCATAATAGAAAACGCTCTTGAACTTCTGTCAAGCGTATTCTAGCTGAACTACAAGTGTGTGGGAAGACATAGTAGCATAAGTTGCTGAATGTAAATGTTCTCTGACATTTTGTTAATAGCATTCATACGTGTGACTTACACACACACACACACAGAGAGAGAGAGAGAGAGAGAGAGAGAGAGAGAGAGAGAGAGAGAGAGAGAATTACGTTCTCCTAATAATTCTGAGATTCAATGGCACTTTTGTTTCTATTTCTTATGAACCTTTAGCTTCAGTCCAGATCAGCATACTTTGTTTGTTTGTTTATTTATTTGTTTATATATTTATTCAATCAATTTCTGTAACTGCCCATCTCTGTCCGTGGCTTTGAGCAGCCTACAGTTCAGAAAATTTATTACAATTAAAAATACTAAAAAATATTTAAAAACAATAAAATGAGTAAATTACTAAAAATGACCAGATCAAATATACATGGGAGCAAGATTCTTTGCCAGTTAGCAATACAATCAGGAAACAGGGTCCTTAACACATTCAGCCCATAGGCACAGGAACATAGCCAGATTTTTAGAGGGTTTATGAAAGGTTAACAGGGTTGGGGCCATTCTAACTTCTAAAGGGAGAATGTTCTGAGGAAAAAGCTTTGTCTTCTGGCTACTGCCAGCTGACATTCTTTGACAGATGGGATCTGCAATGTGTCCGTTCTGTTCGATCTGGTAGGACAGGTAGAGATTGTTGGAAAAAGGCTACCTCAGCTACCCCAGTCTCAAGTGATGTGGGGCTTTAACACACTGGTAACCAGTGCAATTCATGCAAAAGTGGTGTTATCTGTGCTGTTTATCTGCCATTGTTTACTACCTGCACAGCTGCACTCTGCACTGCATTCTGCATCAATTGAAGCTCCTGAATGGCAGTCCCATGTATAGACTATATGTAGTCTAACCTAGAGGTTACAAGGGCATGAACAGGGCCTCCTGATCACAGTAGGGGCACAATTGGGGCACCACTGGAAAGTCTGAAAGGGCCCTCCTAGCCTTGGCTGTCACTTGCTCTTCAAGCAGGGGCTGTGAATCCAGGAGGATCCTCAGGTCTGTCTGGGGCAGTGCAACCAATCCAGAACCAAAGGTGAAAGAACATTGTCTCAGAGGCATCCAAATACCCACATCCACTCTGTCGTGCTAAAGTTGAGTCAGAGCCCATTTTACCTCATCCAGTCCCCAATCGTCTCCAGACACAGGACTTAAGGGGCCTAAACTAGATATAAAAGCTAGATGTCATCAGTATATTGATGATATCTCACTCCAAAATGATGGATCACTTCACCCAGCGGTGTCATATAAATGTTAAATAGGAGAAAGAACAGAACTATGAGGCATCTCTCAAAATAGGATCCATGGGCTGGATATCTCTCCCGCTATCAGCACTGACTGGAACTGGCCCCAGAGAAAAAGGAAGTACCACAGTACACTGCTACCTACCCCTAGTAATCAGAGCTGCCCAAAGGGATACCATGATCGATGATATCGAACACTACTGAAAAGTCAAGAAGAGCCAGGGTGTATGCACTAACTGTATCCCTCTCTCGCTAGGATGAGAGCGATCTATGCTGACTCAGTCCCAAATCCTGATTTGGTTTGAACCCCCACTGAAAGTAATCTAGATAATCTGTCTAATCCAGGATTCTCTGAAGCTGCCTTGTGACCACTCTCTTTATAACCTTTCCTAGAAAGGGGAGATTGGAAACCAAATAAAATTTGCCTGGATTAGCTGGGTCGAGTGATGGGCCTTTGAGGAGGAGGCATACCATTGCCTCTTTAAGAGCTGGGGGGGAGATCACTCCTTCTCTCAAGAAGGCATTAACTGTTGCCCAGACCCACTCATTCATCCCCTCCAGTGAGGTCTTAATTAGCCAGGAGGAACACAGATCTAAAACACAAGTGGCCAAACTAGCATCCAAGAGACCTCTGTCCACTTTCTCAGGTTCCATGGCCTCAAACTCTTTCCATTCTACCTTGCAAGATGTAGCCACCGCCATTTCCATTGAGACTGCTATATGGTGACCCTTTAGTTGGCCTTTGGCATTGTTTCCCAAACCAGGACCACTGGGCAATTATAAGACACAATAGAGGCAGAGAAGTAGTTATGTTGCACCATACTTATCACCACAAGATAGGCCTTAATAGTGGCTCTAGCTCATTCCCAGTCGTCTTTGTTCTTTTTCTTTTGCCGGCAACACTCTAGGCATCTTAGCCTGCTATTATATGCACTTTATGCGATCTGCTCATGGATAGTTATCTCTCCATGATAATAATCTTAAGCAATGCATGATCTACAAGCTTGAATGGATCACTAGCGAAATGATCATGAGTTGGAGCCAAAGAAGTGTAAATGGAAGGAAACATAGAGCCACTTGCACTAATCTGCAAAACAATTGCATAGCTGCTTTAGAATATAAATTCAATAGTAATTTGTGTTGGCTTTCTGAATAGTTGTACAAAGTGCACAGTAAATTATACAAAAGATTTTGCAGTGTCATTTTGTTTAGCACAATTATCAAATAGCTATCTTGCGGAATGGAAGTCATCCTTTACATAAAAAATGGTAGAACATTTCCTTTCTATTATTGTTCCCACATTTAACTACCTTAAATACAAGAGAACTGATGGCTTATGCCAAATGGAGACTAAAGATTTATTATTCTCTTCTATCC